ACTTCAAGTTCGTATTTTTAGCTAGGATTGCCCACCAATCTCACACTATTTCCTTATCTTTGCAGGCAACAAACTCACAGCCATTCCAGCGGAACTCACCCAGCTAAAATTCCTGGAGCTGCTGTACCTCAACCGTAACCAACTGATGGACCTGCCCAGAACGCTACAAGAAGCTCATGTTCCTCAAGCTGAGCAAGAACAGGCTGGACAGTGTGCCCTCCTGCATCCACTCTCCAAGCTCAAGGAGCTCAAGCTAGATGCTCACGTGTAACAAGAACCAGAAGACGACATGTAGAGCATCTAAACATATTTTTATTTTAACCGCCCATTTGGATGGATGGTCACTGAATGGATAAATCGATCCAACTTGGATCGCTGACTGGGCAAAGGGACCCTTTCAGGCAGGCCCTATCCCCAAGGCGGTCTGACCGCCCATTTGCCCGTGCAATAGCCCAGCACTGCTGCCACTCGCACTCGAGCAACACTCACGCTCGCTGGGTTCTGGTCCTCGCGAGTGCCACTCGCCGGAACACAAGGCTCAGATATCAGCACGAGTCATTCCCAGGAACTGGTCAGATGCTTGGCCTTATTGGCGAGTCGAGCAACCATCGCCTCCGAAATGGGCGCGACGCCGAGCGCATAGTGAGCAAGTACCGCCACGTCAAGGCGCAGGATCTGCTCGGCGACGGTCTGGTCGACATTGTCCTCCGTGTCGGCCATCGAGTGATAGTACCAGTAGTCCTCGCACTTGCGGTTATTGGTCAAGATGGCTGGCATGCCCCTGGTGGGGTAGAGTTGAGTCAGTTTCGTGTTCACAACATCCTTTCTTATAAGTGAGAAGAGTTCGGACTTATGCAAGTAGGCCATGTGATCAGATCCCCAGGGCTTGAGGCACTTGGCCACGGGAATGGAGCAGACCGTGGCGGCAACCTTGACGAAGAGGTCGGCGATGGGCTCGCATTCTTTCAGCGTCTCGAGCGCCACAGTGAGGTCTAAACGCCAGAGTTGTAGAATATGCAAGCAAACGGTCTTGGTCTCATGAGGTGAAATCTCAAAAAACCTTTAGGGTTGTTCCAGCCAATCATGTCAAGGTTGACCATGAGTTTGACCTTGTGGTGCTCGTTCCCCAGCCAGCTGGGCGGCATGCGCCTTGCTGCCAACATAGCCCTGTTCCTCGCCTGTTACAACAATAGATTTCATTTTGACTGCGGTGAGTGGAAGCATAACGGAGAGAACAAACTAACGCTCTTACCAGAGAACAAGAGAAACTGCATGGTGTGCACTGACAGTTCGGGATGGCGCCGACGCAGCTTCGAGAAGACGAGCGCCATTTCAATCACCGCCGCCGTGCCTGTGGCGTTGTCAACCGCGCCTGGGGCAAATGTCATTGGGTCCTCCGAGATCGAGTCATAGTGGGCGCCGATGAGGAAGGCCTTTTCTTTGCTTGGCTCTTTGTGCAAGTTGCCTGGCAGAGTAGCGATGACGTTTCTTGTAACATGCTCTGTCCCCGGCATGGTAAACTCCTGATATTCCACCTTCATAAACGTGTTAAAAACCGGGCGCTTTTGTTTGGCATTGGGGGGGGAGGGGTACTTGTAGTTGAGGTACAGCAGCGAGGGTGTTGTAGATGTACTCACCAGCCAGGAAATTCTCCGGGCTGAAGGTGTAGCGGTTGAAACGGCAAAGGCATCCAATTACCTCCATCCACCGCGTCATGTTAATTGTGTTCAGAGCTTCCTCAACAAGCTTATCGGTGCTCACTGATGTCGCACCAGCCTCTCCTCTCCTGGACTTCTTCATTACGTGCAGCAGAACGCAACTAGAAACAAACCTGCACCACCGGTCTGCCACGGCGAAAATTATTTTCTGGCCAATTTCTTCAGGGTAGTTCGGTGAAGTCTTACGCACAGGAAAGTGAGGAAGAGCGCACATTAAGAATGGCCGCTCATGGTGATCCCACACCGTTTCGCCAGCGCACACGAGTCGAGCAGCTCCTTGATGGCGTCCTCGGCGTTGGGGGTGAATCCGGTGGCGGTAGCATTTTGGCGCTCCGATCGTCCTCTGATCGCGTCGGATTGTCCGCGAGCAGATTCGCGGCGCGCGTGTCGTCGGGCAGGAGGCAGATGGGCTCGCACACCAGCCCGCCGGATGTTAGGAGCGGGTGGTCCTCGTACGCGGCACCGGATGTCATCTGCGATCCGCGCCCGACGTTGCGCAGCGCTTGAGCCCACGCCCGCATCCGGCCCGGCAGACCTTTGCATCGGTCGTTGATGGCACGAGCGAGCCCACGAGAGTGCTCCTACAAGAGCGGCGCGTTGGCGTGCCTGGAGAGATTGCGCGCGATTCACTAACGATTCATGCGCCGTGGTGCTCCAGCGCCCTGGACAGCGTATTCACTTTACGCAAACGCCTTGAAACAATAAACACAACGACCATGGAGCTCAAGAGCAAGGACAACGCGCACGAGCATTTGCGCCTAGACTGGCAGGAGCAGAGCGAGGCCAACGAGGATAAGGTGATCGAGAGGCTGCAGCGCGGAGGCGAGGAGTGCATTCTGGTCATCCGCAGTTGGCATCATCAGCATGGTGACCCAGCCGTGTATGTGGTGCCGCTGGCGATCCTGCCGACTGGCATCGAGGCAGCGCTCGATCGCCTGCACGGTCGCATCGCCGTGCCCATCACGGGCGACGCAGACTACGACAGCTGGTCGATACTCCAGAAGCGCTCCTACAGGGTGACCGAGGCCGCCATCGGGAAGATGCGCGCCACCGGCATCCGTATCACCAAGACGTGCGTCTTCAGCGTAGTCCTCTAGTGATGCGACGACCACGCGCCTGGAAGGCAGTGCGCATCATCGTGCCCAGCGTCACCCTGCCCGATTACGACGAGGACACCGAGCACTCTTTCGAGGAACTCCAGGCGCACTGTGTGGTGGTGTGTCGTGGAATAGGGTTTCTCTCTCTTTTTTTAATGACATTAAACTAAGTGCTAATAAATGCTTACGCCCAAATGACTGTGCGCCAGTTGTACCACAGGAAAAGACTTTGAAAAAGGTGGTGTTGGGGATACAGTAGAACTAAGGAAGCAAAGAACAGGCTATATAATGGGGGAAAGGGATACTGCAGGTCCCCTGTTGAGAAAGACAAGGAAAAAAAGAAAGGGGAACAAAGAGGGTGACAGGACAGAACTGTGACTCTGGACTGGGGGCAAGACAGTGCAACCACCAAGGAGCCAGAGGAGCTGGTGAAGTGGAGAGAAGTGCAGGTGTTAGAAACTTGCAACACATTATATTCTGGAATACAAGGGCACCTTAGTGGTCACAGAGTTGTTCAAGGAAATTGTTGACCTTCTCCAAGGCTGGTTGGAAGGAAGGAGGACGAAGGCTGGGGGTGCGGCTGGTGTCCAGGGGGGTGTCATCAGCAGTATCTTGCACTTCAAGAGCCTGATTAAAGAGCACTATTTTTACTTAGGTATCTAGAGTTCAGAATAGGTGAAAAAGATGGGTACCTCTGGCCATTTGGTTAGGCTGCCAGAGGCTATGCTTGATCTGTACCAGGGACATCTGCAGGTGCTCCTGAATGACCTGCAGCTCCATTGGGAAATCAGCAGTAGAGGAGTGAGTGTCAGTTTTGCACTCAGGTGTTACAGCACCCACATAAGGTTGAGCCTGGTACACCTCCCTGAGTTTGGTCATGGAAGACTGGTCTGTGTCACCCAGAACAGTCCGTGCCAGCTGAGCAAAGGTCATCTCACCTACTTCCTCATTGAAGGAGTAGATGGATGCCTCCAGGTGCCAAAACACAGAGAAGTTGTGCTCCTTCCAATGGTGAAGCAGGTGTAGGTGGGGCAGACAACTACATGCATACTGGCCCTTGGGAGCTAAGCCCAGGAACACCAGGAAGAGCCATCTGTAGTATTGGAACCAAGCATCGAAGTCATTGTTGCATAAGCAGACTCCATAGTCTCACACCTGGGAAGAAGTACTTAGAACAGCACACATACCAAAGTTAAAGAGTGGGGGTACCAGGGGGAGGTAGAACTCAAAAAACGCCAGAAAGTGTTGAGCCACCTGTGCAGCTTGGGGGTCGTTGTTGTGGTTGGAGACAACTTGGTGAAGTCCTGCAGATACAGAGGGAGACTGTTTACCAAGCAGGTTGAAGCAGTGTGTCATTGTTGTTAGCCTTGGTTTGACAAAGCAAAGTGAGTCAGGGGAGATGGCATGAAACACTGGCCCAGTAATGGTGTAAAGATAGGTCTGCAAGTGTGTGTTCAGGTGAACATATATGCTGGTGAGAAAGGGTTAAGTACAAACCTGACAAGCACATGTGTATGTATTCTGAAATAGTCACAGTATTCAGTGTATGCAAGGTACCACAGCACTGTTGATGGTTGTGGTGTGCTGCTGCTGCTTTTCCTCCTTGACTTGGATGGTGTATTTTAAAATGGAAAATTGTAGGTATTTTTTGTTTGCCTGTTTTCTGTTTTTTTTTTTACAACAATGGCATACTGTAATTGGAGCCAACTTTGCTGTGCAAATTTTACTGCACATGGTGGGTGTTTTTGGGTGGTCTCTGCTCTGGCCACATGTCTGCTTGTTCTGGTGTGTTACTTGGGTTGTCCTTTTTTGCCTGAGCCTTCTAACACTCACCAACAACTTTTGTGTATGTGTCCAAGCTGGACTGTGTTTCTGCTGCTGTGCGCTGAAGTGGTGAGGAGCCTAGACTTGCTCCTGCCCTGCTTTCAACAGTCCACTGAGCCAACAACTTCCTTGCTAGGGCACACCTGTGCTTAACTTGCACCAGCACACATGGATATAATTGGCTCTGTAGTCATTCTGTTGCACTGTTTCTTGGTTTCTCAACTACACCTTGGTAGAGATTTTGTATTCTAGAATACACTCGCCCTCTAATTTTTGTGCAGGTCTAATGGGCGGGGCTTTATTTGAAACCTAGCTCTTCTTAGCTGGCAAGAAGTCAACTGTCTGGCCAGCCCTTGCTGCTCTACAGTGGGGCCAACTGCTCACTCAGACACAGTGCTTGTGAATTTGGGACACACAATCTGAGCACTGGTACAACTTCCCTCTGGCAGCACTCTGTTCTGGCTAACTAATAACCCTTCCCTTTCACACAACAAGGGCTGCCTGGGTGCGAGTCACACTCAAGAACAGAAGTAACAAGAGTATGGCTGTGCTGTTTCACCATACTCTCACACTAGATGCCCATGGGCTTTCCTGAAACAGCAAAGATTACCTTGGCAATCTTGGACAGTATCTCCTTACTGTTTGCCTGATTGATGTGTAGCTGTGTTGCCTTGTACTGGGCAGCACTCTTCTCCTCTTTGCTTCCCCTGCCCTATGTTTGGTGGATTGATAACTACAATAAGGGTTCCAGAAAGCTCTTACTAAGTTGGACACTGGAAGTTATCCCCACATTGATGGCACCTGTTTTGTTCTTGTTTTGTTGAAACAGTGTCCCCATGGTTCACCTCCATGTTCAACCTCAAGCCAGCAGCAGAGCACCTTGCCATCAGAGTTCTCTCTAGGACACCTTGAACTCTTCATCTCCTCCTTTGATGACAACCAGCCCACCAACAACCTAGCTGATTCACTTGCCCAGGCACTGCAGTTTTGGAACAACCCATTACATCCACCCAATGCCTGCACACCACGAGAATTTGCATCTGTGTGCTTACAGGGTACCCCTACTTCATCATATGATACCCCTACTTCATCATATCATCCTTAGCTGATGTCACCCTTACCAAATGCACACAACAGATGTAGTGTTTGGCAGTGCTGAGGCAATAACCCAGCCAAAACCAGCCAGCCATTACCTACCACTGGACCTCTGGTCCTCCAATGTAGGCAGCCAGTCTGGGCTCAATGCAGCTCTCAAGAACATTGACAAGTTCTATGAAGCACACTCCAGCAATACCCACTCCTTTGGAGTAGTGGATATCAACATTTTCTACTACTACTACCTGGTACATCTCTTGAAACCTTCCCACCTGACTGAGGCCTGATACTCACTCACTTGCTCCACACTTCCAAAATAGGTAAGAGGTAGAGAGAGAGAGAGGGATGAATGTAGTTAGGAACTCTACTGAAGCTGAGCTGGCATCCCTGCCTGTTCTTGAGCTAAAGGGTACCCTTGTGGTCATTTGAAATGAGAGGTCCAGTCATTTTGAAAAGTGATTTTGTTTGTGAGTTTAACCTCATAAAAATAGTTTGACACAAAAATGGTTTTAATTTAAGAATAGCAAGACAAAATTGGGAGCATCTTGAGAACAATTTCTATCATGTACATGTTTTGGTACACTTACTTTATTGTGTATGTGCATGTGATGACTATGCACGTTTTTTTCGGTCCTTTCCTGAACAGCGGGCACGCAGAA